GTCTGGAGACATCCCAAACCCACCCACATTCCTGTCACCTGTTCTGGGTGACCATATCTTGGCATGGAGTTGGACTGGGTGATCTCCAGAGGGCCCTTCCCATCCCAACCATTCTGGAATTTTTTCCCTTCCAACCCAAACCATTCCATGACTCTACAGATAGCGAGCAAACCTGTGTTTCCACATTGCTGGACGCAGGGCGACGGAACTGATGAGAAGGTCCAAGGAATCTCCTGGACAATGAGGAGCTCCTTCCCCTTGAACTGATCCCCTCCTTTTTGATCCCTCTGCAGACACCATGAGGCGGGTGGTACGACAGAGCAAATTCCGGCACGTCTTCGGGCAGGCKGTGAAGAACGACCAGTGCTACGATGACATCCGCGTGTCCCGCGTCACCTGGGACAGCTCCTTCTGCGCCGTCAACCCCCGCTTCGTGGCCATCATCGTGGATGCCAGCGGTGGGGGAGCCTTCCTGGTGCTGCCTCTGCACAAGGTAAGTGCTGCTGGAATGTTTCTTGAATTACCTGCTCGGCTGTGCTGTCAYCCCGGCGTTTCTTTGGGAATAATGAAGGCTGGGAAGTGTCGGCTGTGGTGACAAACGCTGCTCGGTGGTGCCATGTATGAATGTGTTTAATGTCTGTAATCAGTCTGATGCTTCCTGTACATTAAACACAACAAACAAGCTGTTTGTCTGAGTAATCGGAGCCAATTCTGGCAGAACTTTCCATGTGGAATCATATTTTAGAAGCTTCTTTATGATCAGGTCTTTCTACTGTCAGGGATTCAGCTATTTTTTTTTTTTTTTTTGTCACTTCGCTCAGGAACCAGTTGAATCCAACTGCTCCTTGCAGAATTTATTCAGGAACCATCTGAATCCAACTGCTCCTTGCAGATTGAATTCAGGAACCATCTGAATCCAACTGCTCCTTGCAGATTGAATTCAGGAATGCACCTGAGCCCAACTGCTCTTTGCAGCCCCACATGGGAGGGATGCAAAGGAGTGAGCTGGTTCCAAGAAAGGCATTCCTGCTGCCCCTGCTCCTGCACGGAAAAGCCACATCCATCTTCAGAAGGAGATTCTTCTCATTTCTTTCTGATGCTTAACCAGCAAATTCTTGTGATCAAAAGTCTTTTTTTGCACCGTTTCTTTTCTCTGTGACCCTGAAGCTCCTCTCTTAAGTGTATGGTTAAATTGTCCTCAGTCTGTCATCAGGCCTGTGCTGCTTCCCCAGCTCCACTTCCAGATTTGCCCWGTGGAATACAGAATTAGTGCCCAGGATTGAGCACAACTTCCCACCCGGTGAGGGCAGAGCAGGGCCAGCAGCTTCTCCATTGTGTTAAGCAAAGCCAAACCCAACCTCAACCTCCCAAAATAGCTCAGTTTGCTTGTCTGATGAGCAGCCCTTCCCTGCTCTGGGCTCATCCTTAGGCCACGTGTCCTAGTCCTGCCTGGACCACGCGTGGTGGCACAGCCTTGGATGAGGAATTCCTTGTTCAGTTGCATCATGGCACAGATGCTGATGGCAGAGGATGTGCATCTCTTTTCTCTTATATCCCAATGTCTGGAGCACAAATTTGATAAGGGAGCTGGGGGACCTCAGCCTGGAGAAAAAGAGGCTCAGGGGAACCTTCTGGCTCTCCACAATTCCCTGATAGGAGGGGGCAGCCAGGTGGGGGTCAGGCTCTGCTCCCAGGGAACAAGGGACAGAACCAGAGGAGACGGCTTCAAGTTGTGCCAGGGGAGGTTTAGATTGGATATTGTGGAAATTTTCTTCATGGAAAGGGTTCTCARGCWTTGGAACAGGCTGCCYAGGGCAGTGATGGAGTGGAGGGATTTAAAAGCTGTGTGGATGTGGCACTTGGGGACATGGTGGCCTTGGCAGTGCTGGGGGAACAGTTGGACTCAATGGTCTCAGAGGGCTTTTCCAACGTCAACGATTCCATGATTCTGTGTTTTCTCAGTCCTTGGCARAAATTCCTGCTAATTCTGGGTGCCCTGGCCTTTTCCATTTTTAAGTGCCGCCTTATCTCTGGYGTTATTTTCACATCCATTCTGTTCTTCCTCCCACCCTTCCTCTATTTATCACTGCCTTGGTGCCCTCAGCTCCATCCCTGCCTTCCACAGCCATTGAATACCCACATCTGAGGAGGTTCCATGGGAAGCTGGAGGAGCAGTGTCCCTCACCCCAGCCTGACACGTTCTTTTGCAATGCGGTGCTTTGCTGGCTCYGCTCTAACCAGTTCCTGTGTTCTGCATTTATTTTTATAGCCTGGGCTGATGAAATTGTTCCTTCAGTTYCTTCAACACCCTAAATAACATTTGGATTTCTTTTTGAGCCCGTTTAGCAGGGATACTTAAGCTCCCCGCAGCAAAATCCTTCTTGTTATAGTCAGGGGAAGAAAAAAAAAAAATAAGAGCAGTTCTCAGCCATGGGTTTGGGATGATTTTAAAATWGAGCCATAAAAATACACTTGCTGCAAATCTGCAGGGAAAATGTCCCATAACATCGTGGCTGCTCAAACCCAGCGCTTTGCGGCTCACTGGGAATTAYTTGCGATGTGGCTGACCCTTGCTGAGGGGTGAGCACAGAAAAGGGGGCATTTTACTCATTTTAACGTGCTTTTTCTTGCCAATTTTCAACGATATTGCAGGGGGATTTTTTTTGCGGCCGGGGTTAATCGCTGCCAAGCAGGCGGCTCCCAGCTCCCTCGCGGCCCTGGGCGGGAGTTCTGGGGGTGTTTTTGGGGCGGGATGATCCCCTGGGAACCCCTCATCCCACATCCATGTGCTGGGGCGGGGGGGGGTAGAACGGACACCGCGGCTGGAGCGAGGAAGCCCCGCCCCCTCCCGGCAAGCCCCGCCCCTCCGCGCGCGCGCACCCGCGCTCGCCGCAGCGGCACTGCGGCGGCCGCGGCTTTTTACCATATATGGTCATGGCAGCGCTCGCGGCCGCCGCGCTGATTGGCGGGGGCGGGGGCGCGGCGCGGCAAGTGCGCGGGAATTAACCCGTGCGCGCGGGAATTAACCCGTGCGCGCGGGAATTAACCCGTCTGCGCGGGAATTAACCCCTGAGCGCGGCAATGCGCGCAGGAATTAACCCGTGTGTGGGATACAACCCGTGCGTGCGCGAATTAACCCGTTGGCACCCGCGTTCAGTCCGCGTCCCGAGCACCCACGTGCTGCTGAGGGTCTCTCCTGGCCCCCGCCCCAGGTCACGGTGTGAGAAATTGAGGGGCTGCATCCCGTTTTCATCCCCGCGGCTCCCGGAGTAGCCGCAGCCGGTGCARCCGAGCCGGCTTTGCTGGCTGTGGAAATGCTTTGTCTGAACTTCCTGTTTTCTTGCACGCACATGTGCAGGGGCTTTGCCAGGAACTCGCCATTCCCATGCTCCGGCAGGAGCCGCTGAGCATCAGACAGTYCAATTCCCACAGGTTGCTTGGTCTGGAGGGTTGGCCTCTGTTGGAATGAGCCACATAGTTTGGAAAAGCTGTAATTCCTCTCKGTCAGGGCTGTGTAGGTGATAAGAGCCAGGGTAATCAGCATTAACTGTGCACACCAGGGAAGAACCGGAAACTTCCCTGCTTGTTCTGGGCTGGGGTTGTAGAATTGGTTTGCTCTGAGCCTTATCCCAGGGAAAATTCTGGCTACGCAGGGAAGGTACCAGATAAAAATGCTCTTGGCTTGCTGATATGTTGGGGAGGATGACTTGGAAACACCTGGATTCAGGGGTTGGCTCTGGTGCTGTGTCTGTGCTTCAGCAGAACTGGAAACAAATTTCTTTCCCCCCCTCAAAACTCTTTGCAGTTTATATCTTCCGAGTAAAACCTGCTGCAAATGTTCCTTTTTTGTCTTGAGTTCATGCAGAAAGATCTGTTCAGCCACGAGTTGTGTTACGTAAGGCCTTTACCAGAGGTTTATTCAGTCCCCTTTGGATATAGCTTTTATTAGATTTTCCATTTTCCTGATTCCTTCCTGCGCTCCCTTCACACCAGCAGCATTCCTGCAGGATCTGGGATCAGATGGTGCCCTGAGAGGCAATTAGCATTTGGGTGGGGGCGTGCACACCTCGGGAATGATCTTCTCCAAGGAATATGTTGCTCTGCAAGTGACAGGCCTTGGTGTTCACCCTTGGCATATGACAGTTCTTAAGCAGCTCTTCCCGATTCTTACTCCTCCAGGAAGGATTTGAGGGAAAGAAAATCATCCTTTTCTAAGCTGYGTGTAAAATAAAATCAGGAGGTTTTGCTGTGATGGGTTTATTGAGCCTTTCCAGCCATTTTAGGGGGAGTGTGATGGATTTTGTCCTTTTATTTCACCTTGGATTTTTCTCTATAAAAAGAAGTTTATATTTATCACTGTCAGCTTGATTTCAATGGATCATCAGGTTCTAATGTAGTAGGRAAGAGAAGGCAGGCAGAGGGGCTAATGGATCTCATTCATCCAGGAAAAAAAAAGCAGCAAATCCCATTCTGTTTTACAGTCAGAGATTTTTAGAAATATCTCTGCAATTTTAAGGCCTGTTCCAGTAAATGGAAGTTGTGCCTGGTGGAGCTCTGAATCACCTGTTCCCAGTTCATTGGGATGATCCCTGTCTCCTTTCCCTCTCTCTGGATAGATGCTCATCCTCTGAACTCCAGCAGGGTTTTACAACTTTATCCAGAACCCTCAGCTTCTGCAATACCCATTGCTTTTCCTGCAATTGGAAAGGAGCAAGGGAATGAAATTCTTTGGAAATCATGTTTTAGGGACAGAACAAAAGAGTGACTTTGTCCCTTTTTAATTGTAATGTCATTTCTGGGCAACAGGTCTCTCTTTTTTTAAATGTAATTCTGGTGTGTGTTTAGAGCTGTCCTGTAGAACCTGGGACAGACATCCATGGGAATGCTGAACTGTGCTGCATTCCCAGCCCTGAGTGATGGGGTTTTGCAGGTCAGGTGGAGTGTGAGGACTGTTTATGTTGGGTTTTTTTTTTTCCTTTTTAAAGCCAGCATATGTGTGTTCTGTGGCAGTCTGGGATGGAATAATGGAATCATAAAGGTTRGAAAAGACCTCCAAGCTCATCAAGTCCAGCCTTGGACCGAGTGCCCCCGTTCCCACTAAACCATATCATAAAATGCCTCAACTGCTTTTTTTCCCCCCACATCCCTGAGGAGTCTGTTCCTTGCTTGACCCCCCTTCCAGTGAAGAAATTTTGCCCAATATCCAATGCACTGCTGAGGGATTCTTGGAGAGCACAGTGGTCTCTTACTGCCCGACTTTCCAGTGGATCTTTTGGGAATAACACTTCCTAATTTTCCACATTCGTTCTGGATGCCTTGATTGGGCTCTGGGGTGACTGATGACTCTTGGGCACAGGCAGGAACTTCCATTTCATCCCAATTTTCTCCCAAGTGCATCCTCCAGGATCAGCTGCTGCAGTCAGAGGTGGAGGATCAGTGCCCAGAAGTTCAGCTTCCCTGGGTGAAACTTAGGCATTTTTTAATGAAAATCYACGATTTAAAGGAAAAAGGAGTATTTTCTCTAGCAGAGAAAAGGTGCAGTCGGTTGGGGTTTCAAACTTTGCAGTTGTGACCTGATTTCCTTCCTCAAACTTGTGCAGAATGAGGGGGGTGCTGCTTTGGCTTGTGCAACTCGATGCCACTTCCCTAATTTAAATGGAGATTTCAAGGAGCACAGCCATGGGCTGGGGAAGCAGCTGTTCTCCCTGATATTTTTACCATAATCCATGAGCTGTTTCCTGCCACCAAATGCCCTTTTCTGGCAGAGAAACGATCACAAGACAGTCAAATTAATTCATAAAACTCCCACTTTTAGGAACAGTTTTCTTGTGTTGCTTATCTGTTCCTTTTGGATTTAATCTTCTTTTTTTTTTCTTCTTATCTGGGTTTAATATTTTTGATGATTTRACTTTCTTTTTTCTGCAATGCATGAAAGCACTTAATTTATTAAGGCAAATCCACCCCTTGTTGAAACAACAGAATATTGAGTGTGTATTTAGTCAATGACAACTTATTAATAATCCTCAAATTCACCTTTTTGACCAACAATTAATATAATACAACTCCAAATTTCAAAAGTTATCAGGGATGTGTCCACCCACAGTCACAGCAGATTATGAGAAGGATTGAATTTCTTGAAGTTAATTTTAAGCTGTGTATCAGCACTTGAGATTTATTTTAAATCCTCTCCTAATTAAAAGATTACATTTTACAAATAAATAAATAAATCCCCAAACCTGGGAGCATTAGAGTAGCATGGAAACACACCCAGCTGGCAGCCAAGCTGCCAACCTCGTGGTGTTCCAGTGGCATTGGATTGGAATTGTGTTTAAAACCATGGAATTTGGTGATTTTGCAGCCTGGTGGGTTTTCAAATCCCTACTGCAGCTTTCTTGGTCTTTCCCTTTTGGCAAACCCCCCAAATATTGTTTTTTCTAGCTCTTCTGAGCTAGAAATCAGGGAATTCCTGCTCCAGGGAGCGGAACGCTGCCGGGGGGAAGAATCTGGTGGATGGAATTTGCAAAAGCGACGTGGAAAGGTGKTGAAACAACACCCCTGAGTTCAAACCTGCCAATTCCTCACCCCGAGGGCTCAGCCCTGGGGTGGTTCTGTGTCCTGTGCTGTCCCCACAGAGTTTTGGGAGGGTCCCTGGTGAAGGTTTTGGTGACGAGGGGCGGATGTGGCGCCTTCGGAAGCGCGGCCGAGCCGAGCTCAGGAAAACACCGCGGTTTCCTCTGCGCTGCAGAGACCGTTTGGTGCCTCTGACCACAAGGCAGGAGCTTCTCTCCAAGGGCTGGGGCTTTCTCGCCCACTGGGGCCTCGAGCAGTGCCTTTACATCCTTATTTAGTCTTTATTTTGATGCTTTGGTGTTTACTTTTATACATCACCAGGGGTGGCCAGGGAAGGACTGGATGTGGCACTCAGGGCTCTGGGTGACGAGGTGGGGATCAGTCACAAGTTGGATGATTTTGGGTGTCTTTCCCAATCTGAATGATTCTGGAGATTATTCCTGCACCCTGATGAGCAGCAGAGTCTCTCCTCTTGTGCCCAAGTGAAGATGTTGATGCCCCTGGGCTCTTCATCTCCCTGGGATCATCTTCCTCTGCTGGGTGGGACATCTCCTCCTCTGCTTTTTCTTCTTGGTTTGATAATTCTTTGTGGATAAAGAAGYTTGAGGTTGTTTAAAGTTTCTGTTTCTTCCACCCTGCTCCATTCTGCCTGCCTGTCCCCTGTTGGAAGTGGCTTTGGGTGTCACTCTGCTGGTGCAGGCAGGGACAGGGGGTGTTTKGAGGTGATGCACAGGGAATTCTGCCCCTCTGCCCTGCTCAGGTGAGACCCCACCTGCAGAGCTGCCYCSAGCTCTGGGATCYCAGCAYRGGAARGAYGTGGAGCTGCTGGGGAGAGTCCAGAGGAGGCCACAGAGATGCTTTGAGGAATCTGTGACTGCCCCAWCCCTGAAAGAGTCCAAGGCTTGGAGCAGCCTGGGACAGTGGAAGCTGTCCCTGCCCATGGCAGGGTGGTGGGACTGGGTGAYYTTTAAGGTCCCTTCCCACCCAATCCATTCCATGATTCTCAAAGCCCCGCTCTTCGTGGAAGTGCAGGATCCTGGTTTGAGAGCTGAGCTCTGTCACAGGTGATGGGAAGCAGCTCCTGGGTGTCACTGCTGTCACARGCTCTTGGCTGCTCCTGCTCAGGCTGTGCCGTTTTATCGTGTTTAAAACTGAAAGGTGAAGTTCGGGGTTTAATTTGCTCAAATTCATTTTTGTTTTTTTCTCCCCRTGGTAATTAATTACTGCAAAACCCCAAAACTAAACCAACAAGTGCTTGTGCAGCCTGGAAATAATTACCAGGGGCTCCTCCTGGAGGATCCCACTGATTCCTGCCAGGGAGCCAGAACAGCCAGTCCCTGACATTTTGCATTATTAGTCCTATTTTTCCTTTTTGATTCAGGCCTGTATTTGTCTGTGGCCTGTCATGTGCCTTCTGCTGTCCGTGTGCTCTGCATGGTTCTCGTTTTAATTGGGTAAATTAAAATGGATGAATTCTACATGGCAGTTTGGTATATTAATTTTTTAAATCCTATTTCACATCGTGGCATCCAAGAGGGATTACACAGGCTTTAATTTTTGAATGGCAGGTTTATGGCTTTTCATCCACAACCCTTCCCCTTTTAATAATTCCAAAAGCAGTTGAATYGCTGAGACATTTTTTCCTTTTGAAACCTAAATTTGGATGTTTAGGAAWCAGTGGGATTCTTTTAGGATCAATATCTTGTTTTGGTGTTAGTAGAGGGCTCCAGGTCAGTTGTCCTCAATAGCCAATGTCCAGCATTATTCTGGTTATCACCCTTGAATAGGAACAGGAGCAGGGTGGGAGGAATACATTAAGGAATGTCACCTCCAAGGTTGGGGACTGTTACCATCCAATGGCAGAAGTGAAATTCCAKCCATGGTTAAACACAAAAGAAGACGACCCCATCCCAGACCTCTCCCTGCTGTCTCTCTTCTCCCATCACTCATYGTGAAAAGGTCATTCCCTGGAAACAAAACCCCGTGGAGCAGGACCAGGGGTGTGGCTCTGGAAGTGGAGGAGTTTCCTRCTCACCCTGCTGCTACTGCTGTGCATCTTCAGTATTTTAAATGTTGCTTCCCTTGTGTGCAAGGCTTGGCTAAGAGAGGGAAGGGTGCTGAGAGTGATTTTCCTTTCCCTTCTTCCTTGTTTGTGGAATCAGCTCTTGGGGGGATCAGGTGCTTCAGGATCTTGAGGGGCTCTTCAGCAAAACATRGACCCAGGGGGAAAGTTGGCATCAGCTCTGTTGGAATCACTGGATTTGTCCCAGTTCATATTTAAGTGGCTCATTTGCTCTTTTTTTTTTTTTGGAAATGCTATCCCTGTAAGGAGCTTTATGTTGGCACATGCTGGTCCTCCATCCATGGAGAGGCAGGGGTGGATCAGGTGTGGCTGTCACACTCCTGCTGGCAACATTTATTCCTAAAAACCATATTTTCCTCTGCACAACTGCATCCTAAAAATTTCCTGKCTAAGCAAAATCCTTCTGTGTTAAAAAAACAGGGAGACCTGATAAATTCAGTGATCAGCAACGCCCTCCAATGACATTTTTAGCTTGGTTGTCTACAGCTGTTCCTCTTGGGAAGCACAGATGAAACCAGAGCTTTGCTCTTCCCAAAAATTTGGGATGGACAAAGGCATGGTGTCACAGCAGGTGGTGAGGTGTGGGCAGGAAAATCCCACTGGCTCCCTGGGGATCACATCCTCCTGTGCTGGATCTCTGAACCCTTCTCTCACTCCATGGGGAGTTTCCAGCTCCTTGATGCTGGAGAAGAGCTGCTGGTTTGGTTCCTCTGCTGATCCATGAGTTTCAATATGGAATTGTTGAAGCAAAAGAGCAGAGGGTTGGGAARCACTTCCTTCAGGATATCACAGCTCTCTTTTTCCTTCTTCCCTCCAGACAGGCAGGATTGACAARTCCTACCCCACAGTGTGTGGCCACACGGGGCCGGTGCTGGACATCGATTGGTGTCCCCACAATGACCAGGTCATCGCCAGCGGCTCCGAGGACTGCACYGTCATGGTGAGTGTTCCCTTTGCTCCCTGCTGAAATTCCTGCTCCAAAGGATGCTCTGCTATTCCTGAATTCACCTCTGAGGTGAGGTGAGGGCAGGGTCATCGTGGAAAGGTTTGGGTTGGAAGGGATTTGGAGCTCAGCCCRTTCCARCATCTCCRGGTCCTGTCCAACCTGGCCTTGGACACTTCCAAAGATGGGGCARCCRCARMATCTCTGGGAAATCCATTCYAGAGCCTCYCCACACTCACAGGGAAGAATTTTTTCCATTTTTCCTTTTTGTGGGCATTTGTCTGATGTTTGGGAATGGGAATTAGAAGGAAGAGTGCCAGCCTKTGGTGAAGTGTTCTGATTTGTGGAGCTTTGCAGAACAGGTGGWTCCTTAGCTCAAATATCCCAATGGATGCAGTGCTGTGTGTTGGGAAGAGGTAGGGATTGGAAGGGAATGAGTTCCAGGATTCCTTCAACCCTTCATTTCAGGGAGTTGCTTCAAATTCTCCCTGTATCTACAGGTCATGAGCAGGTGTCAGAAGGGCTTTTTTATTAATAAATACAAATAATCCTAAATTCTGCCCCTGCCAGCCTTGAATTGAGACCTGTTTTACCTTGGAAGAGCAGCCGAGCTCGCTCCGTGACGGATGTGGAATCCTGTGTATGCAAACACAGCAGAATAAGTGAAAGAAAATCCTTGGAAGATGAAATAATGCCAAATAACTCCAGGGATCTTTGGCCATATTTAGAAATGCTGTAGGCTGAATGTTATATTGAAATCTTATTATAGATCATGTCAGATAAATTCCTTTGCTTCTGTTCATCGTTAAAATGTTTGGGAGGGGATTCATCCCAAGAGGTTTTTCCTGGGACAGCTCTTGCCTGTGATCTCTCAGTCTTGGAAGCTGAAGCATGTTAACAAAATGGGCTATATTTAATATTAAACAAAACAACAACTTCTGTGTTTGCCACACTCACTACTGGGCTGGAACTGAGCTTTGGAGGGATGCGGGAGAAGCTGCGCATTGGGAATGTTTCTGAAACGTGAGCATCAGTGAAGGCCCAGAGCTGCCTCCTCAGAGGCAAAATAAGTCTCTAATCCAAGTGCAATGAGAAATATGTTGGGAGGCTCCAGAGGGATTGAATTGTGGAGAAAACCCAGCAGTGTTTGGTTACAAGTTGTCCAACTGCTTGTCTGAGTGCTCCTGATGTGATCACAAACTGGGAATCTGCACCTCCCACTGAACTCCTGAATCCCCAAAGTGGGGATGAGCTTCCCCTCCATCCCTGGAGGCAGCACCCATGTGGAAAGGCCCCGGGGTGCAGCTGCCTGTGGGTTTGCACCCTCGTGGTTGTGTTTGGTGTGTCCTGTCTGGAGTGGAAGGTGGAATTAGGTGAGTCCTTGCTGCGCTTCCAGGATCGGGGATGTGCAGCCCAGGGTTTGGAAGTTGCTGGGGGTGTGTTAGCAGGAGGTTTGGAATGGGAAGTGATGGATCCTGAGTAATTTGGGACTGCACTGGTGCATAAAGAGCCATCCTTGGCTTGGACTTTGGGAATGAGCTAATCAGCTTTCCCAACTTTAATTGCTTTTCTAGCCTGGAGTGGATAGTTCAGCATCCTGTTTTCCTCAATAAAAGGTTTGGGTCCTGCCTCCTGAGCAGCCTGAATGGAATAAACCCAGGGCATTTTACAGGACCTGTGGCTGTTTGTGGGCTCCTAACTCTGCTGGGGCRAGGCGAGGAAAAGTGACGTGGAGGAGGAAATTGTGTGGGATTCTGTGGCAATTCCAGCTGCTGGAGAAAAAAAACCTTGTTCTTAAAGACCATCTGTGCCCTGGCACTTGGGGATTTAGGAGCTCACACTCTGCCACACGAGATCTCAGCAATTTCAGCCAGACGTGGATTGAGGGAGAGAGCATGGATTTGTTTTGGCGTTGAGGGAGAGAAAGTGGATTTGGGATGGYGTTAAGGAAGAAAATGTGGATTTGGGATGGTATTGGTGGGGAGAACATGGATTTGAGGTGCAAACCACTGTCTGCAGGTGGAGAGGGCTGATTCTCTGCAGCCCCTRTGTGGCACAAGGAAGCTTCATTTGGCCCTTTCCAAATCCATAAACCTTCTCCTCTAAAGAAATTCCCTATTTGTACAACAGCTGCACATAAACCTTGGACAGGTTTGGTGTTGGGAATAGCAGACATGGGGACTGGGAAGGAGGAGGAACCTGACATCCCTCTCCAAAGCTTCCTTTAGAGCCCTTGCAGATGCCTCCTGTGGCCTCTTTCCTTGGAAGAATTGTTTCCTCGTGCCAACAAATGAGGAATCACTTAAATATTCCTGCTTGATGTTGTGCTGCATGGGTCTGATAAACTGCAGGCTTTTCATTCCTCTGGAAAATGTTTTAGTGGATAAAGGTTTGTAGATGGTATCGAGGCCCTTTCTCAGATATGGAAAATTTCCTTCGGCAGAAGGTGGATTTTAAGGAATTTGTGTGGAAAGGTCAGAGCAGAGCTTATGTGATGGAGGAGATTCCTTTAAAAATCAAAGAGAGCCCTTGCAGTGGCCTGGGCCACCAACCAGGACAGGGAGAACCAGAAGTTCTGACCCTACAAAAACGATGTATCAGGAGCTCTTCCTGCAGGTGGGAGCAGGGACATGGATAAATCCAGGCTCAAACTCATTTATTTTCTTACTTAAAGTGATAAAAATTAATATATATGATACAGGAGCTAACATTTTTTCTAGGCATGGAATTAATCTTCTTTTCAGCTTGTGCAGAGCCAGATGAGACAGTTTTTGCTTCTCTTTAAAGGGGATGGAAGGAAAGTTTGCTTTGTTTTGTTTCTCATGTGCTGTTTGTGCAAAACCTTCCCCTCCTGCTCTTCCTGCAGCCCCAAACCTCTCCCTCGGCTGTGCCACGGCTCCGTTTCCTCCTGCACAAACAAACAGCCATGACAACATCAAAAACCCCCCAAAACACCCWAACACCTACAGCAGGGAAAGCTGACAAACTCTCCCTAATGCCCAGTCAATCCTCCTGCATTTGAAGGTTTCCTTGGGGTCATCCTGAGCCCTCACCCTCGCAGGGTAAATCCTGCATCCAAAGTTCTGTAATTTCCCTGTGAACCTGATTTGATCCCAGACTCAGGCCAGGCTCCCACCCTGTGCAGGAACGAGGGGCTGGGCCAGTTGGGACCATGCCCTGACCTTTCACRCTCATTCCTTTATTATTTTTGGGAATACCAGGCAGGATTATTGGGTCAATAGTMTGTGATCTTCCCAGCATTTCACTGCTCTGCAGCTGCTCMYAGCTACAGGGGATTCCTTCCCAAWATCCCATGTAACCCCACAGATGCAGGAAGGCAGATGATGAAAAACACAAACCTCACCAAAGCCCCGTGTCTCATCCGAGAGACCCTCCACAGTTTTGGGATTAAGAGCAGCACCAGACTGACATGGAATTCCCAKCACAGACGGGTTCCAAACTGTTGCTGTGAGGTTGTTACTCCCTGAGTGGCAGGAAAAAAGCTGTTTCTTCAGAGCTGACACCTTTTGTAACCCAGTTTTTGTTGGCAGGGGCAGGGGAGGRGATTTGTTGAGGTTCTCAGGCGTGTTGGGTTTCAGCAGAACCTCCGAGGGGTTGGATCCAGTCACTGGTGGAGCTGGTGGGGAGTGGGAAATGAGCAGGATGAGATCCTGGTTTTCCAGGCTGAGCAGCTCCTGTTTGCAATCCCATTTTAAAATCAGGCTGGTGAAAGCCTCTGTTGATGTCATTGTGTCACCAGTGCTGTTCCATAGAGYGGGAWGGCAGAGAGGGATTTCCACARGATCATGGAATATCCTGAGGTGGGAGGGACCCACAGGGATCACMCAGTCCAGCTCCTGGCCCYGCACAGACACCCCAACAATCCCACYCTGTGCYTCAGAGCGCTGTCCAAATGCTCCTTGAGCTCTGGTAGCCTTGGGGCCATGCCCATTTCCATCCCTTGCAGAGGAATTCTCTCCTAGGGAAGTGTTCCCATCATGGTCATTCCTCCTGGGATGCTGGGAAGAATGGAACTGGGAGCTGTGTCCATGAAAAGCTAAATWATTTTGGGGTTATTTAGAGGGAATCTCTGCGTCTCTCTGGGTCTTGTTCCAGCACCAGCRATCCCCATGAGAAGGGAAAAACAGGGATTAGCACAGAAATCCACGTGTCCATCACACACCTCCATCTGCCTCGCTTCCTAAATCCACTCCCTCGCATCCCACAGCTTGTTGGGCATCGTGGGCAGGGTCTGGCAAGCCCGGTTCTCCAACTCCAGGAAAAGCAAACAATGGGAAGCAAAGGAAACGTGCTCTAATGCTGCCATCTACCTTCAGCAGCCCCAACTGCTCCCCGAGGGGCTCCCTGTCATTCCCATGTAATTTTTTAATATATTCTATGTAGGTCAGATCCAATTCCAAGATGATTGTCCAGTGCTGAATTGCTGGAATAGTTTTGGTGGGGCTGATCCTGCCCTGGGGCTTTGGGGTGATGGGTTTGTCTGTCCCATTCCCTGGTCACTRCCCAGCTGGAAAACCCTTGTGCTGGAATTCCAGTGCTCTGGCACATTTGAGGGGCTGTTCCTCCTCCTGGGGGCCCTTCCCTGAGGAATTTTGCAACAGGAAGGTTGTGAAATCAGGCAAGAAGTGAACAAGCAGTCCTGCAATGCTAATTTAGGCTGCTCTGGCATCTTTTAGCACTGAACCACTGTTCCCCGATTAAATGGGATCTGAAAAGAGCCTGAATTTAATGGGAAAACAAATCACTGGTGTTGCTAAAGAAATCAAAAGTAGGCAGTGGTAGAGCTGAAGTGTCATCCCTCTGAGGGACAAGCACAGTTTGGAATGACAGCAGCTTGTTCCCGTGGAATTGGAGATTTTTCCGACTCCTCAGCAGGACGGGAGCAGAGCAGGCCCACAGACATTGAGAAAGCAGGGCTGCAGCATCAGGAGCTGTGGGTTTGTGCTGGCACACGAGTGAGGAAGGATGTTCCACACGGATCAGCCAAGGGTTTATTGACAGCTGGGAATGCTTCCCTCCCCAATTCCCTTCCTGTTTACAGGAGSGGTGACAGCTCCGGCGGCTGCGGGATGCGGGAAGCAGCTGAGACACGCGTTCCTCGGCGGGGCCAGCCTTGGCTCACCGGCTTTGGCTCACCAGCCTTGGCTCACCAGCTTTCCTTCCCCTTCCCCTTCCAGGTGTGGCAGATTCCCGAGAATGGGCTCACCCTGTCCCTGACAGAGCCCGTGGTAGTGCTAGAAGGCCATTCCAAGAGAGTCGGCATCGTGGCCTGGCATCCRACGGCACGGAATGTGCTGCTCAGCGCAGGTACGGAGCTCAGGGATGGGGCACAGCCACCTCTCCCTGCTTTCCTCCCACTCCAGCTTTTCCTTGTCCTTTTTCCCTCTCCCAGCTGCTCACATCCCTTAGATCCCTGTGAATCACAAGACCCATGGTGGTAGCTGGGAACACTGGGACACGTGGCTCACAGCCCCCTCTGTATCTCAGCCTTTTTTATCTTCAATTTACATGGATAAACCCCAAGCAATTGTCTGGAATCAGAGTATGAAAGTTGTTCCCGGCTTTATTTGATCTGCATTAATAATTTACATCTGCATTCCCAACATCCCTGTTCTCATATACTTCTAGAACAGGCCCAAGTGTTTCTTCTTTCTCTTGATCCCTGCAAAGTATCCCAGARTCCAGCTGTTCCTCCCACAAGCTTTCATGGTCAGCATTTTCCAAATTGTCTCCCTGGCTGGTACAGCCCATGGAATGAGATTCTTTTGACCACTGAAAATCAGTCACATCATTATGGAAATAAATTGGATAATTCATTACCCATTGGCACAATTTGAGGCTTCCATGAGTTGGATCCCAAGGAATGAAGCAAATCCTTTCAGCTGGATTGTTGGATGAACTGGGTGCTTTCCATTGATAAAAATCCCTCCTGCACTCCCAGTTTGGGTTTTGATTCCCAAAAAAACTGGAGTAGGTTTATCCCGTGTTCCTCATCTCTGACTTTTCCCCTGTGTACCCCGATGCTGTGATTTGAGCTGTTATTTCCAGCTGTTATTTTCCATTTCAGGCTGTGATAACGCCATCATCATCTGGAATGTGGGAACAGGAGAAGCCCTCATCAACCTGGATGACATGCACGTGGACATGATCTACAACGTCAGCTGGAATCGCAACGGCAGCCTCATCTGCACAGCTTCCAAAGACAAAAAAGTCCGAGTTATCGACCCCAGGAAACAAGAAATCGTTGCTGTAGGTTTGATTAATCATTAAAGAAACAGCTGGATTCACTCCAGCAGGGAATGAGCAAGAAAATGTGGAAGAAAGAACCTTCTTGCTTGGTTTATRCACCACGTTCAGCTGCTTTCTTCAAAAATTACGGGAGGAATAGTAGGRGTTGAAGGATTTGTCTGGGTTTATTGGGATTAGTGTTTGAACTGGGATTTTAGGGCTCAGTTTTAAACCTGCAGGAGTGTAATTCCACATCTAATCCTTTTGTATAATTACAGTTCCAGAGTTGTGCAGGCAAAGCAGAGCTTTAGTTGTAGCTCACAAAGAGGTTTTCCTTCAGCCTTGCAAGAGGCTGATTGGCAAAGCTGGAAYGAGCCAGGAATGTCCACTGCAGTTTTCAGTGGTTGGGTTTTTTATCAAGCAGAAGGGAAGGAGAGTTTTGGATATTGCTCCTGGAACTCCTCCTGCGTGGAGGAGCAGCGTGTCCAGAGAGGAACCACCACTCCAAGGTTTTTTTTCCTTATTGCTAATCCTGATCTGCTCCTCTGTTCCAGGAGAAAGAGAAAACCCACGAGGGAGCCCGGCCCATGCGAGCCATTTTCCTGGCRGATGGGAACATCTTCACCACCGGCTTCAGCCGCATGAGCGAGAGGCAGCTGGCCCTGTGGAACCCGGTACGATCCCAAACTGGAGCCCTGTGCTCCACGTGTCTGTGGAGTCCCCATCCCAGCCCTGYAGCCATGGGATCATGGAATGGGTTGGGTTGGATGGGACATTAAAGCCAATCTCATTCCAACCCCCTTCCACTGTCCCACCTTCCAACCTGGCCTTGGACACTTCCAGGGGCAGCCACAGCTTCTCTGGGCAACCTGAGCCAGGGCCTCCCCACCCTCACAGGAAAGAATTTCTTCCTAAATTTAAATATTGAGGTTATTTCCACTCCATCTGCTGCCTGCTCCTGCCTCAGTGATTTTGGCTGTGTGGTTTCTCAGTGAAGGAACTGAGCAGGAGCTGCAGGTTGGAAATGCACATCCCAATATCCAAGCCAAACAGGGAGAAGAGGGGAAGATGCACAGGGAGCAGAGGGGCTGTGGGAAGGTCMCTTCTCTCTGTACTTTGTGCAGAGCAGGACAGTGACAATCCCAGGAGGGTTCAGGGTGGAAGGGACCACCTGGATTGTGTCCAGGTGGCTTTTGAAGGTCTCCAGGGAAGGAGGCTCCATCCCATCATCCATCACACATCCCATCCCACTGACACAAGGCACTCACTGTGTCACATATTTCCCTTGACTTGGTGAATTTTCCTGGCTCCTGTTTTTATTTAAATTACTGATTAAAATGCCCCTGGGGAATGAATCAGCTTGTGAACATTCCCAGTGTTTGTTGTAACACACGGATCTTTCCGGGTGGTTCAGACACCCTGGGAGCTCACTGGCYACAGAGTGTTAATGATTTAGACCCTCCCTTGATGTACAGGAGCTTTTCCAATCTTTATTAACATCCCTGGCATTTTTTATTTCCAGAAAAACATGGAGGAGCCAATAGCCCTTCACGAGATGGACACCAGCAACGGGGTCCTGCTGCCCTTCTACGACCCAGACACCAACATCATTTACCTGTGTGGGAAGGTGAGGGGAGGCTTTGGAGGTACCTGGAGGGAATGGTGCCTGGGAAATGTTCCCCAAAGAAATCATGTGGGGCTGCAGAGATCAGGCTGCTCTGCAATGGGTTTGATCCTCACCCTGCAGAAGCTGGGAAGGTCTGGAGTGCACCTGGATATTTCTTTGAGATGGATTGGGTAAAGCTGTTCCTCATGCAACAAATCCCACAGTTTACAAAACAACACCTTGCTGGTGTTGACCTGGATGATTTTATGCTGGTGTGGGAGGAAGGGACCTTTTGGATGTTTTCCTCCTTGTCCTTGGAGATGCTGGAGCGTGTAGCAACACTCGCTGTAATTTTATGGGGTTAAAAAACCAGAAATCTGGAATCAGGTGCTCCTTTCGAAAAGCAATTTGTAGGAATTAGGTGCCAACTTGTGATGGAGTTCCTAGAAATAGGAGCCAAARCCAAGATGAGCAAGGAATTCCAAAGGAGGATCCATACAAGAATGTTCATCTTTGAATCCCATCTTTGTAGCAGCTAATGAGGAATATTTGGTTTATTTGGTTTCTATCTGCCACTCCTGCAGTTTCAGAGGCAATAGTGTTCTGGGCCTGCTTGGAATTAAGGATAAACTGCTTTAYAGCCTTTCTGCCTGACTGTGGCAGCTTTTTCCACAAGAAACATGGAAGGGGCCACTCTCAGCCTGGAAGCACGAGCTCAACCCCTGTCCCACAGTGTTTTGAACAGGCCTTGGAAGAATTGTTCAGTTGATGGGCTCCGATTGTGGTGGGGATCAGCCTTGATTCAAAAACAGCTGGGAGCTGTCCATGGCAGCATTCCTGGAAGGAAAGGCTGTCGGGAGCAGGAGTGTGGGCACAGGGAACACTGGTCCTGCAGCCTCTGGAGGGTCTTTGGGGTTCCTTGCAGGGGGACAGCAGCATCCGCTACTTTGAGATCACGGATGAGTCCCCGTACGTTCACTACCTCAACACCTTCAGCAGCAAAGAGCCGCAGAGGGGCATGGGGTTCATGCCAAAGAGGGGCCTCGAYGTCAACAAGTGTGAGATTGCCAGGTGAGGAGAGCTCATCCTGGGCTGGGAGCGGGCTGGGAGCTGCGGGTGGGAATTTCGGGAGTGGGTAAAGCAGCAGAGCAGGGAACACGGGGCAGCCGTGGGTTGGAAAACCCAGGAAAGGTGGGAAATCTCTCAGGATGTCACTGCAGTGGCTCTGGGAGGGAACATCACTGCTGGCTGGGRACATGATCCATCYCTTCTCCCAGGGAACAAGTGATAGGACAAAGGGAAAYGGCCTCGAGTGGCTGCAGGGGAGGTTTGGCTTGGATATTGGGAACAATTTCTTCATGGAAAGGGTGGTCAGGCATTGGTGCTGCCCAGGSCAGGGGTGGAATCCCATCCTGGAGGGATTGAGCAGCCATGTGGATGTGGCACTTGGGRACGTGGGTTATGAGGGACTGGTTGGGTTCAATGRTCCCAGAGGGTGTTCTGTGATTCCTCCTTTCCCATCTCCTCCATTTCCCGACGTGCTGCTGTGCGAGCGGCAGATCCGTGTCCTGCTTTATCCTCACTCCATTCCTCACCTCTCCTTCTCCATGGCAGGTTCTTCAAGCTCCATGAGAGGAAATGTGAGCCCATCATCATGACGGTTCCCCGCAAGGTGAGCACTGCCCTGGGGCCGGGCTTTGGGGCCAGCTCCCTCCTCCCAAATCTTCCTGACTGATCCCTGTCTCCTGCCTTGCAGTCCGACCTCTTCCAGGACGATCTGTACCCGGACACAGCCGGCCCAGAAGCAGCTCTGGAAGCAGAGGAATGGTTTGAGGGGAAGAATGCTGATCCTCTCCTCATCTCCTTGAAGCACGGGTACATTCCAGGCAAGAACAGGGATCTCAAGGTGGTCAAGAAGAACATACTGGACAACAAACCCGCYGGGAACAAGAAGAGTGATCTCATAAGTGCTCCAAAGAAAGCAGCGGATGCCTCAAACCCCGTGAGTGAACTCCAGGAATTTTGTGGGTGGTGGCATCAGGTGGGAATCCTGGGGTGGGACCGGTGATTGGACCTGAGGGAATGATTGGAGCTGTGCTAGGGGAGGTTTAGGTTGGATATCAGGGAAAGGTTCCTCCCCAAGAGGGTGCTGGGGCCTGAACAGGCACCTCAAGGAATGGTCCCRGCCCYGARGCTGCCAGAGCTCCAGGAGCTCYAGAAACAGCTTTCAGGGATGCACAGGGTGGGRTYGTTGGGTGTCTGTGCAGGGCCAGGAGTTGGACTGGWGATCCCTGTGGGTCCCTTCCAACTTGGGATATTCCATGATGTGGAAAAGRCTCTTCATTTGGGTGCCTTCCARCTCAGAATTTTCCACAATTCTGTGATTCTGATGTTTCCTTAGATATGGAAGAAGWCTGGGAATCGTTTTTTCTAAGTCACAGAGCCATTAAGCCTGGAAAAAACCTTTAAAGATCCCCAAGTCCAACCATAACCCAGCACCARCCCCTTGTTCAYCATTAATCCATGTCCTCAAACCATGTCCTTTGGGACACAGAGGAAAGTGTGGCTTGAACAGCAGATTCTGGTTCTGGATGGATTCACTGGTGCTGCTGGAGATGCTGCTCCATGCCCTGAGCATCCCAACAGCTCCAGAGTCTGTGTCACACCCTCATCCCTCCAACAAATCCCACTGGGAGGAGCCCTTTCCTCGGAAAACCCCAGAGCTCTCCTCACTCCTCCCAYCTTTATCTTCCAGCAAAACGACGCCAAATTGGACGAGATTTTGAAGGAGCTGAAATCCATCAAGGACACGATCTCCAACCAGGACGAGCGCATCTCCAAGCTGGAGCAGCAGATGGCCAAGATCGCGGACTGACGGGGCCGCCAGCCCAGGCACATCCCAGCTCCCAGTTCAGCCAGCAGCAGCCTGCAGCATTCCAGTACGAGCTTTCCTGTTCTCCTAAATCCACGTCAACGAGAGCCGATGATTTCAAGCCAAGCTTTTTAGTGAAAGATTTTTTTTTTTTTTT